TTTTTTTTTTTTGGTTAAATGTGATATACACAAAAAATGTTTCTTGGTGGTGTATGGAGAGCTTGTTCTTGCAGGTAGCAACTTTATGTTTTGCCAAGAGTTCTGTAGTTCTTTTTTGTTTAAAATTTGATCTTTCCTCCAAGATTGTTATTTTGAGCTTGCTGAAAATTTATTGATATGGATACTCAACTTTCTTGACTTTATTACCAGCTAGGCGCCATATTTTTTCAAGTTAACAGTGGTAGATCGAAGATTCAAGGGCATAGGAGGTGTTAGTCATGTATTTATGTTACCATTTAGGCCATTTTCGTGTAAAGATTCCATCTTTCCACCAAGATTATTCATTTAGATTTGAAAACCTTATTTTTATTTTGTTGACTTTTAAATTTAGGCTGAGATTACATCAACCGTTTTAAGTACAGCCCAGCACAAAATCAAATCTCGAAAATTGAAATTGTGATTACTACCTGGTAAAGAAAAATTATGCTATTTTGCAATAAAGAAAATGTTACTTTTGTTGATATACACTCACATGAAAGTGGGATTCACGTGGAACCCATGTATGCTTACAATGTCCCATATTTTATACTCTCTAATTTTTATGATCTGCCATTTAATGACATTCTAAATTGGCATAAATTTTCGGTCATACTACACGAGTAGATGTCTACCAAGAGGGTTTGCAATTCCTAAAGTTCTAACAATGTTATCGTGGTCTTTCATCAACACTGATATGTGACCTACCCATGGCAAAATCATCAAGTGCCTCCAATTGTGAAACTGGAGGGCTATTAGATGTAGGTTGAGCAAGCTTAGGATTTTGAGAGTAATGATTATAACTATGGATGAATCAATTGTATTCAGAAATTTGTAAACAATTTCCGTCTCTTCTTTGGCTTCAATGGTGTTGAGTTTTTGCAATACTTCTTTTGTAATTGTAGTTATAATACTTCAGTTTCAATGTGTTGAGTTATTGCAATACTTCGCAGCATAATCTGTAATTGTATGCCACCACATTTTGTCTATGTGTGATCGAAGTTGGTCTTCCTGATTTTCTTGAGGTGTTGGTCGTAAATTCGAGTTGAAGGTAGTAGTGGTGGTGCATTTGAGGTGATTGTGGTAATGACTGGTGGTGGATTGTGGTGCTTGTTCGTAGTGTAAGCGGATTTGTTTGTGGTGACCATTTGTGACCAAATATGTGTTTGATTGTAATCAATTCTGTGTTAATTGTGGATTATGACTCGTTGTGACCAATTCTGTGTTAATTGTGATTGTTGTGACTTGATCACATACCATCACAATTAAGATTGACTTGATCACAAATAGTCACGCTGAATATAAATTGATCACTATTAGTCACGAATGACACGTCAGTGACTTGATATTTTTAATTTTTGAAATTTTTTTGCAAGGTAGGGATGGGGTAGGTGGTGGACATGGATCCATGGATTGGGAATGTGATTTCCAGTTTTAAATTTTTGGAAATTTTTTGGAAGGTAAGGTGGGGTGGGGGTGGGGTGGGGGTGGGGTAGGGGGTGGCCGTGTGGGGGGAGGTAGGGATAATTAATTATCCAG